ATGTACGACTACTCCATCCTCCCATTTCCATAACAGTCTTGTTTTGTGGCAATCTCTGTATGCAAATGAAAAAAAAAGTAGTTTTAAATATTTGTGTAAATGTATATAAACTTAAATCTGGTGTAAAGCTGTGGTCATATGCCGTGTTGCCATAGACAACAAGTTTTTTAATGGAAAATAATATGTGGAATTACTTATTAGTTTACTATCTTTGCAAATGGAATTTGGTAAATTTGCTGGGAAGTGAACATAGTGGTGCATACGAAAAAGAGATGGAAAGATAAACGTAAATGTGATAGAAGGGAAAAATCACTGGCATTCCACATTAGCAAATAATCTGAAAAGATGGATAGATAGATGCCCAAAAAGCAACGATTCAGTCAATGTTGGGAGAGATACAAATTAAACAATTTAAAATATCACCGTGAATATCTTACCTAAACGATGCTATTGAATCTGACGGGCATTCAAACAATGACTCGTTTGTAACCAAGTTGAAGAAATACTTTCGTTTTTGTGACCGGCTAAAATTCATAGTCCAAGGTTCTGAGATAAAAAAACAAAAATAGAATATAAGATTTTAAATAGAAATTAATAGGATAAATTTTGCCTCATACATAATCATATTCAGACACATCTCTTATAACAAATGAGTTTGGATTGGATTATATGTATTCGGTGTAAACACCAAGGATAGCCCACGAAAGTCTAGAAGGAGACTTATGTCCAGTGGGGTCCAGTGATTGGGCAATACACCGGGAGCCAATCCCCGACTCTTTTCCGAACAATGTACTGCATTCTTCAACATGCACACGAGCCATAATGCACGCAGGACCAACAGCTTAAACGTCTCATCGGTAAAATGGTGCGCTTTTGAAACTTACATTTCAGCCCTTCAAATGAAACACAAGAACAGCAGCGATGGGAATTGAACAGGGAACAAACAGATCTCCACGGTTCAGCGCACACACAGTGGCTACCAACAGTTTAGCCGAATGAGCTAGCTGCTCTCTCTGAGGTCTACACTTTGAATTTAACTTCATATTTTAGTGACATTTTATTGACTCACTCAGACATAGTAGCTTTGGTATGGAGATACACCTCCACAGTGATAGTTAAAAGATGATAATAAATATTTGAGAAAATATTTTCCCATTTATTTTCCTATTTATTATTCATTACGCTTTAAGATAACCTAAAAACACAGTACAATATAAAAGACTATAAATGGTTTTTCATTTTATTAGAAAAGAAAGAAATAATAATAAATGCTACCCAAATTATAAAATCAATATTAAACTTAGTAAAAACAATTAAACATTGCTGTTAATTACAAATACTGTAATACTGTTAAAGAGATAAAAATTGGTATTACATAATACATTCAGAAAAAATTGGTCCTAATGGGAAGATCAATGGGTGTAGTATACCACTAGGCATCATAGCTCAGTTAGTAGAGTATCTAAACAGTAATCGGAAGGTCTTGGGTTCAAATTCTAATAGGGACATACATTTTTCTCAAATATTTATTATCAGACATGAGAGAAAGTAGCTTAATTGGATGAAATCTCACCATTTGTAATTTTAACAAAGTGAAGTCCACAGGGTAAAAAATGACTGTTCTGGTTGGAGCGAAAACACAGCCTTGGCTTTCGCGAACCCTTCACAGCCCGCATCTCTAGCCTAATATTGGTTAGATGATAACAAATATTGTTAAATTGTTAATAAATATTGAATAATAAGACAAAGATATCCTAAAATATCTATCTGAAAAATATTACATAGAATAAAATAATAGTAGTCTAGCATGAAAAAAAGCAATAACAGTAATTAGACATAAATAATAAGAATGATTATAAATAACAAATATTCATAAAAATTATAAATAAAAAATTACATAAATAATTTCATAATAATAATAAAAATATATCAACCTTTCAAATATCTTTTCTGCTTGCTCAAGTCGGAATACTTCTTTCACTCGGATGGGAGTGAGATCTTGCCGGCTCGGCCTGGATATGCTGCGAACAAACAACTCTGCTTTCCCAATTCTGTAAAAAAAACCAAAAAAAACCCATTTTGTTAGCAGTATTGTAAGTCAGGGAAGGTTGCAAAGTCAATTGACAACCAATACATTTACCAATCAAGCATCCAACAAACCATTAAACCAACTAAAACATAAAACAGAACCAGTCGATCAACTATCAATAAACCAACCAATCAACCAACTCTCCATTAAACCAACTAAAACCAAAGCAACAAAACCAATTATTTAACTAACCATTAACCAACTATCCATCAATTAAACCAACTAATACCTTGGTCCAAGTCCCAGGGTAAAAAAGTTTTTATGGCTTAGTATGGTCAAAAATTGTGCTTTTCGGTATACAATATTAGAGAAATTGGCAACATTACTTGGATATAATTTCTTCAAATTTTTGATTCACAGACCTCGTCGTGGCATCAGATGGCAGGGAGGGTCCAGGCCTGTCCGATGGTGGAAATGCCTTCCCTGCCCCCCCCACCCAACTGTTGGAACATGACACCACCACTGCTCCATACCACAAAATTCTGTGTTGTTAATAACTACAACAAAATTGGATAGATAGGTCCTCAGAACTATCTGACTAAATACAAATATTTAACATGGGCGAGTCCTCTTGTGTTTTTGTCTATAAATAAAATTATCTCTATTTTCTTACCTTTCTGTAAAGTGTTTTTGTCTAACGTCCTGACCAGCTAGCCACATGCAGTCAATGATATGTATAGCTGTAATACGTCTCTGACCAGAGCCCTTAGAATAATAATGAAAGAATCAAGTGGAGGGAAAAGAAGGCTACTATGCTACTAAAATTTAGTGTGTTATTTTGGTACTCTGCAAGCAGAGAAAAATCAGGTAATTTACAACGGTTAACTACATTCCAATAATCTCTTATTCCAAGGTGCCCGGATGGAATTAGATCAAACACTGCAGTTAAGTAAAACAGAACAGGCAGAAGCACATGACTACTACAAAAATATTCTGTTGCAGACCATTTACATAATGCACAGCAGTGGTTTGTCAAGAATGCAAATTTCATGATTTCAAGGGTCCCATGTCTCCCTGAAGTCGCGGAAGAGTCCCGGGAAGCGGGACGGCCTCCCACACTCCCGCAAGCAAGCAGGAATCTCCAGAAAAATAACCAATCTCCTGCAAATTCATAATATTTGCATGCTTTTACCACTTTATTATCAATTGTCTCATGGAAGTCAGTGCTGATG